AAACTTGGCAGAAGTTAGTCAAGGTGGGAAGGGAGGGGGTTGAGGGAAGGATTGTTGCCGATCCCTTCCTAGACAACGTAATATGGGCTTTGAAATGGCCCATTATTATCGTTTTATTAACTGTTAAGCTAAATATTCATATCGCAAAAGAGCTTCCGTATATTTTCCTGGTGGAAAAGTAAGCCGTCGATTGTAAAAGTCGGCGCTTCTCGCAAAAGTCCATTACGATCATGTGATCCAATCGGAAATTCCTCCAAATATTCTTCCATTGAAATCTGAGTTTATTTCTGAAACGTCCAACAGTAGGTTTCCGATTCCAAATGCTAACTAACAGAAGGTTGTAATTAAAATAAGAGGCCCAGTGGCCCTGACGGTCACCTGAGTATAATACAACAATTTAGAGGATCCATAGAGTATAAAATAAACTGACAGATGAAGCTTTGTTGTACAAAAGCATGATAAATAAGATGATCAGGATCAAAGAAATAATGGGTCTAGCATTCAGTAACAACTAAGTTTAATCTGTCCCTCATTTATCACTATCTCCATGCAGACTATTAACAAATTATTAAAGCCAGACGACACGTTCCTCAAAAATATATAATTTTTCCCAAGAATTTGTCATTGAAGTATAGCTACTGAAACAAGTTTTCTTACCAAAAATTTAGGTACCTTACCAGGCATTTGGGCAAGATACCAGTGGGTGATATTCCTTATATAATCCTTATGGGTAATCTTTTGAATTGCCAGTGTCACAATTTTTGGTGTACTTATATTTTTAAAACATATATTGAAAACAATTTGGAAATCACAAGAGAATGACAATATGAATAATTTTTGATATAATACCAAGGTATACAAAACAGATATTTGAGGAACGTGTCATATGACCTTAAGTGCTTCTGTACTATTTAAACCCAATATTATAACCTCTCATATTGGCCTTTTTTGGTCATTGAAGAATATTTAATAAATTATCCCTACCCAAACACATGAACCCTGGGGCCATTAATTTCACAATTTTGGTAGAGGGCTCAATGCTCATTACAATCAAGCCCACAGTTTGACTGCCTGATGTCCAGGAGTAAAGAAGAGGATTTTTAAAGATTGCATTAATTTTGGTGGTTTTAGCCCCACCCCTCAGGGGGACAGGGACCATGAAATTCACAATTTTTGTTCCCCTTCACCTCTAGATGCTATATGTCAAATTGCTTGCCAGGAGCAACAACAACACAGGACCTCGGTTTATACGGTCTCGTCCGAAGAACCGGTACCGGTCTCCACGTCTCGTACTGGGATTCGAACCCGCGACGTAATGATTAACAGTTTACTCCTTCCTCTGCAACATGTACACAAGAAATCACCTAAATAAAAATATATTTTTAAAAAATGCATATTAATTTTCAAAGAAGAGACGTTGAAATGGATATCCTGTCAACTTGATTGTAAGAATTTTCATCCACCTGATTCACATACCTTTTTACAATGTATAAACTGATTCAACTTCAAACAGCCAAACACATGCATCAGATATATAAGAAAATAGAATTTTCAAATAGAATTAGAATTAAATTTGTTTTGAAACCACGATTTCAAAATAAAAAAAGAAAATATGTAATTATCTACGTCAAGATTTATCCTAAAGTATTATGCTCATTATTCCATATATATATATATATATATATATATATATATATATATATATATATATATATATATATATATATAATGAACGTATCTCAAAAATAATATTGCTAATGATATTACTTTACTATTCGAATACACCCTCAAAACAGTTTTTGATCTTGTATGGTTTTTCTCATAGACCTCATCTTAATGGATTTATTAGATCGATCACAGTAGATATCTTGACCTTTTACATTACTTCTTCATACATCAACTAAAAATAATAAATGATTTATTAAAAGTAAACTCTGTATCAATTATATATTACTTTTATATGCGTTAGAAATTGGTATCGACCATCATTTCAAAGGATTGTTTCTATTTTTTGTAAACGAAATTGATATTTAAAACAATGTAAAATAACCGCGATATAAAGGGCAATTATACCTGAGAATAATCAACATATCTCCTACAGACATAATTGAAGGGTACTTCAAGCGCACTTTACTTAAGATTCTGCACTTTCATTTTTATTAACACATTTTTACAGACATGTACAATAGAAAGGTTTTAAAAAAGTCAATATTAAACAATTTAAAATTGATTGAAATTATTAAATAATATGTCTTCTATAGCCTTGTTTTCTTCATATATAAAATCTCTTGATAACGAATAGTAGGGTAGAACACGTCATTTCAAATTTTAAATTCAACATCATAAACTCTAGGATTGAATACATAATAATCTCGTTGAAAACACTTCAAAAATGAAATTTGGATAGATGTATTCAAATGCTGGATAATATTATTTAATTCTATTGAAAAGCATATTACGTGATTCATCTTTATTCATCTTTATTTTTTTTTCTTTTAAAAATAATTTTTGAATAAATGTTTGATATCTTTTCGATAGCAAAAATTGGACGACTTAATGATATCATTAATGAAGATGATTCACTCTTTAGTTAGGATCTTTTTTTCAACACTTGTCTAAATACTATATAGATTCTTTTTTTTTCTGGAGGGGGGGGGGGGGGGGGGTACTAATGCTGTAAGGGTTCGTTGGAAATATTCTGGACTTGACAAAACTGTCCCAAAAAAACTCACAAATCCATCAATTTTATCTATTTTTTATATGTATAAGTTTACACAATGGAATAAATAAATTTTTTAAAATGATATTCTGGTTTAAAATATTTCCGTTTAAGCGGATAAGAAAAAATGAAACTTCTGAAATAACGTTTACATTAATGAACGGAAAATAATTCACTATCGCAGGAACTCCAATAGTTTAAACACAGAATTTATATATATATATATATATATTGACTTGCCTGGAACTGTAAAATGTGCTTCTAATGTGCTTCTTCTCTTTTATTCTAACAAGGACAGCAGACTATCTCATGTTTCCATTAAAGAACGGGGCAACATGATCTTATTAAAACACCAGGAGTAACCATTCCACATCCGCCGCGAGCCCTATGTATCGTGGAGGGAAACAGGATAATTCGTAGAAATGGTCTTTAAAAAAGGAGTTTCTGACGAGATGTAGCTCTACTGCTTTGTAAGTATTATAATGGACAAGTAGGTCTTGGACTCGAACCTATGGCAACAGCATGACCTAGAATAATGATCCTTGCATTAGTCTATTTTTTTATGGCAAGTTTAGTTAAAACCGGACTTGATCTATAGGAGGAGTAGCCATTTGAAAAGATTCTTATCACCTGCGTGGCGCAGTGGTTAGAGCGTTCGCTCTTGAGTCGCGATGTGAGGAGTAGATCCTTACGTCGCGGGTTCGAATCCACTGCGAGACGTGGAGACCGGTCCTTCGGATGAGACCGTATAAACCGAGGTCCCTTGTCGCAGTAGGTGCTGGGACGAAAAAGATCCCTCACTGCTCAATGGCCCTGAGTGCCGAGTATAGGTCAAAATTTGCAGCCCTCCACCGGCAAGTGGTGGCGTCTCCAAATGAGTGAAAAATTCTCGAGAGGGACGTTAAACAACAAACACATTCTTTTTCTAAAAACCATGGCAACATCGTTTCATAATGCTACTCCTCCAACAGTTTTGGTCCGTTTTCAATAAAACATGGTACACACGAAAACTACACCAAGATTTTATACATCGTTTTTTTTTTATTTCGAAGAACGGTGTTGCCAACGTTACAAGAAATAAAAATTATTCTAAAATTCATTCAAAACGCTATAGCGCAATCCTCCTAGCTACACTTTGGGTTTGATTTCAACAAGACATGGCGTACAGAGGATTATACTTAGTTACATAATTCTTTTACCGTTTTTGACAAACGGCGCTGCCATGGCTACTGAAAATATGAATGTCTTTATAATTCTAATTTCAACGTTGCTACTATTACCAAAAAATTTACATTTTCTGGTGGTTTGGTCTGATTTCATCTTTCTTCAGAAACGTAGCAACGGGGGGGGGGGCCTTTTTTCCAACGACTTTTTTTACTGTTTGAAATCTTAATTGAAAGGCCGGTTGCCCCCCCCCCCACTTTTTGTTGTAGAATAGTCAAATACGGGTTTTGTAGTATTGTATGAATAAAATTTGGTACTGAAAGAAGTTGGAACCTAAATCCCCCCCCCCCCCCGGAAGTAGGATTTTACGAGTTCGGACAATTATCCTTTTTTTTTTGCTTGTCAAATTTTTTTTCAGGTAAGTTGAATTTTTTTTCTCTGGCTGCACCCCCCCCCCCACTTTCAAAAACGATGCTACGTCCCTGTTCTTTATAGTACAGCTACAATCTCGTTAGAGACTTCTGGTTCCCCTTATTAATTCAGGGTAAAACAATTAAGTGTTATTTTCCTCAATTAATGCCAGTAGAAATTCTTGTTTGATTCAATTTGCTTATAATCCATATTTGATGGTCAATAAATAGATAATTACAAAGTTAAATTCTACATTTCACCATACATTCAACTTCAGGTAACCTACTGCTGTATCTTCCCCTCCTTATTCGTCTGTCACGCTGTATGCGTCATTCCTAAACTTTTTCTAAAGCTGCTTAATAATATTTTCTAAACAGCTTCTCTACGTAAAGATAATATTTTATATGTCATTATCCTTTTACACATCATAGGCGAAGCCTACCTTCTAAAATTAATCCTGTTTTCTATTTTCTTTTCCTCCCACACAAGTGACAGGTAAACTGTTGACTTTTTTGACAATGTATGCTACTGTGAAAATTATTTACCTTGAGGTTCAAAGTACAAATCCAAGATGAAAATAAGTTGATCAAATAATTCAATTAAGTACACCATTTCTTTATTTAAAAAATTCTTCACTCCTATTATATATATTAACCAGGTACCATCATTTCCCTTAAGGTAAAATTATTGAATTTTGTTGGATTACAAGTCACATTAGTATCCTTGGATGCCAAAAAATGCACTTAAGTATGAAATATCTTGCAATTCCTTATACTGATCTAAAATATTTATAGTAAACATTTATATGAATTCTCTTTAGCACATATTTTTCGGATTCTTGTGGTAATAATAAATTTTATGCAATACAGGACAGAGTAAATCAATCATCTGGTTTTGTCCTGAAACATCAGGACGAGGACACGATATATATATATATATATTAGAATGCACTGATTTTTCGCCTAAAAGGACTATACTTATTAATAATGTGTAAACAATGCATGATTATTTTTATAAACATTAATCCTTGTATAGTTTTACAACACTTACAAGAAACTGATTTTTACTGCACTTAACGCTGGGTTTTGGGTCTTTTTCCGTCGCTTCTGTTAAGTTTATATCTTAACTTATTTCATTTTACCAAATTTAAATGTTAAAATTATTTCAATAAAGTAATGCTATGTTTTTTGTCCTTACTGATTTTCAAAATAGAGAATTCACACTTACCTGTCCTTGATTAAACATTATGTATGCATGAGAGGTGGAGCTACAACATAGTAAGAATGGCTCTAAAATTAGACTAGATAAATAACAATGACATCTATAAACTTTCCCATCTCCCCCTTTATTCTGTATGGCACAAAGTACACTATTATCCAAAGGTTTCAAAACGAAATTAACAATATGAGCAAGTCCATGTAGGTAAAGAATATTTGGAATCGATACCTGATAATTCAACGTGTTCGAGCACAGTGTCCTAGTTAGCACAAAATATGCTATCTTACAAGTCACGTGACGGAATTTAGTATTCACAGAGTTACCTGAAGTAAGAATTCACGTGCTGAATTATAATATTCAAAATGCCACAGCCCTTGGTTACAACAGAGAGAGAGAGAGTGAGAGAGAGCAAATGTAAGAAGAAGCAGTTTTTCTCTTCTAAACCATGAGCGCACGTTTATCTATTCATTTCCTTTTGACACATTATTACTACAAAAATACAACTACTGTTAAACGGACAACAATAAACAAACATGCGCTGATTATGTATAAAGTCATAGAAAAAGTGGGTGTCCTCATTATCGTACGGAGATTGAGGAAACTGTGATGACCCCCGCTTATGAAAACAGCTTCGTCCTTCGTAAATACATACTTTTATTTAATGTAATGACGTAAAGTTGTAGATTACATGTTGACCATTCCTCCAATTAAAAGATTGATTGATTGTATGTTGTTTTAACGTCTCGTTTGAGAAGTCACTCATATCGAGACGTCGCCATATACTGGTGAAGGGCTTCAAATTTTGACCTTTACTCGGCACTCAGGGCCACTGAGCAGTGAGGGATCTTTATCGTGCCAACGCCTGCCGTGACACGGGGCCTCGGTTTTTAGGTCTCATCCGAAGGACCCGCAACTTTCACTTCAAAGTGCTGAGCGCATGGCGAAGGAACAGTTGCTACTCATTTTTTATCGACTTAGGTCAGTCGCGGCCGAGATTCGAACTCACGACCTCCAGATCACGGAGCGTGCGCTCTACCGACTGAGCTACCGTGAACGGTCCAATTAAAAGATCAAAGTACTGAAAGTACTGGAAAGCGCTAAGCAATGTTTGCAATTTGACATTCATCAGAATTATTTTGAATTTAAATTGCCTATTGTATTTAAATAAGCAATATGTTGAACGTGCAAACGCTAGGGGCGAGCACAGTTGTTTGGTACACATTCACTTTAAAATAAAACTTATATCCGCCTCTTCAAACCGCATGAGGATATATTTGAAGGTTCGAGACTGTGACATCACATGACGTCGAATATGCGTTGCTATTTAAGGTATCCCACTTGTTAGCTTTTAAGAAAAGTTCAGTTATAACCTCTCAGTTCAAAACTATTTATTACAATTTCATTTTTTATAACGTATTTGAATTAAACCATGCAAATGATAAAACCTTCAATTTAACCAGAAGTCTCTGATGAGACTGTAGCTCTACTGGTCTGTATGTATAACAAAAGAAAAGTAGCACTTGGATTTGAAACTCTGCAACATGCAACAATAAATAGAATTATGTATCTTAATGTAGTCTACTTCTGTGCCAAGTTATATTGAAATCAAACGAAAACTGTAGGAAGAGTAGCATTTTGAAAGTATTTCACGGAAATTTCTTTTTTAGTAACCATAACAACACCATTCACCGAACCCCCCCCCCCCCCAGAAATACATATTATGTATCGTAGTGTATTCTAACTGTGTGCCAAATTAGATTGAAATCAGACCAAAATTGTAGGAGGAGTAACGTTTTATGGAAATTTCACAAAAATTTCTATTTTAAGTAACCATGGCAACACTGTTCATCGAATTCAAAAACTGATGCATTAAGTTATGTATCTTAGTATAGTCTTCTTGTATGCCTAATTATATTAAAAGCAGATTAAAACTGTAGCAGGAGTAGCGTTTTAAAGGAACTTCACAGAAATTTCTATTTTTAGTAACCATGGCAACATCGTCCATCGAAATCAAAAACTGATGCACTTAATTATGTATCTTAGTGTAGACTACATGTGTGCCAAGTTATATTGAAATCGGACCAAAACTGTAGGAGGAGTAGTGTTTTAAAGGAATTTCACAGAAATTTCTATTTTTAGTAACCATGGCAACACCGTCCATCGAAATCAAAAACCGATGCACTAAATTATGTATCTTAGTGTAGTCTACTTGTGTGCCAAGTTATATTGAAATCGGACCAAAAATGTAGGAGGAGTAGCGTTTTAAAGGAATTTCACAGAAATTTTTATTTTTAGTAACCATGGCAACACAGTCCATCGAATTCAAAAACTGATGCACTAAATTATGTATCTTAGTGTAGTCTACTTGTTAGCCAAGTTATATTGAAATCGGACCAAAACTGTAGGAGGAGTAGCGTTTTAAATGAACTTCACAGAAATTTCTATTTTTAGTAACCAAGGCAACACTGTCCATCGAAATCAAAAACCGATGCACTAAATTATGTATCCTAGTGTAGTCTACATGTGTGCCAAGTTATATTGAAATCGGACCAAAACTGTAGGAGGAGTAGCGTTTTAAAGGAATTTCACAGAAATATCTATTTTTAGTACCCATGGCAACACCGTCCAATGAAATCAAAAACCGATGCACTAAATTATGTATCTTAGTGTAGTCTACATGTGTGCCAAGTTATATTGAAATCGGACCAAAACTGTAGGAGGAGTAGCGTTTTAAAGGAACTTCACAGAAATTTCTATTTCTAGTAACCATGGCAACACCGTCCATCGAAATCAAAAACCGATGCACTAAATTATGTATCTTAGTGTAGTCTACATGTGTGCCAAGTTATATTGAAATCGGACCAAAACTGTAGGAGGAGTAGCGTTTTAAAGGAACTTCACAGAAATTTCTATTTCTAGTAACCATGGCAACACCGTCCATCGAAATCAAAAACCGATGCACTAAATTATGTATCTTAGTGTAGTCTACATGTGTGCCAAGTTATATTGAAATCGGACCAAAACTGTAGGAGGAGTAGCGTTTTGAAAAATTGTTTACAGACAGACGGACAGACAGACACACAGACAGACAGACGGACGGACGACGGACACCTTACTATCGCATAAGCTCTTCTGGTCTCTGACCAGTAGAGCTAAAAACTGGTCATAAAATCATAAAGAAACAAGATTTATGGGAGACTGTTTCTTGTTGTGGAAAGATAATAAATAGAAAGTTCTACACATCTACACATTTGTTTAATTTAATATCTTGGAATTTTACCCATACATATTTTTACTCGGAGCATTTCCCCCGTTATCATACGCTAGGAATTTGAAATACAGGTGTCAATATTTTGGAACAAATTTTACATTTTCACTCAACAGACTTTGCCAAAAAATGAATAAATATTTAAATAAAAACTCAGATAAAATTCACACTTTCATTTTCCTGAGCGTCAAATTTACTATCTCTCTGCATATTCGATTAAAGCAACTCAGTTATTTTTTTTTATTTTCGAAGTTTACTTTGTTTATGGCAAGAAAGAGCAATACCACAGTTATGGAAGAAAAAAACTGTCTATTTGTGTTAAATTGCATTTCCGGAAGTTATTATGGAAAAAAAGTTCATTTGGAGCAATGTGCACAGTCCGAATTTTACTCTTCGCCCCGGCGTTCTTTTAAGAGCTAGTTTGCGGTTGCAAATAGAACAAGTCTGACCAAGCTCTCTAGGCTTTTCGTGTAATTCCGAAACGCCTCTACATTTTACATCATTAGAAATCGTCACATCCGTTGCTTTCAGTTTCAGTTTATTAGACTGAAACACTACAGCACTGGTGATAATTTTTAATAATAAATTCATTTCGTGTTCACGAGTGTTTCAAAATGAAGATTGGCTGTTGGTGACACAGAGGTGCTTGGTTTCAGGTGCATGGATGGTGTATTTTGTGTATGATGTTGTTTTTATTCCCCACGCGACAAGTTGCGTGAGGTATAATGTTTTTGACTCGTCTGTCAGTCAGTCAGTCCTGTTTTTATACCCCATGCAACAAGATGCAGTGTTTTTGACCCGTCAGTCAGTTGTTTTGTTGTTTTTTGTTGTTGTTGTTGTTGTTGTTTTTGTTTTGTTTTTTTTTTTTGGTCAGCGCAACTCCTCTTAAACCGCTGCACAGAATTTCGTCAAACTTTGCAGATATTTAGGACACAATTTGTGGATGTGCATATTACCAGGAAATTCCGATTTTATTATTTTTGCCCTAAGAGTTTTGCCTATTATTGAAGAAACTTTCCAGCTAGGTAATAAGGAAATCCACTGGAATCAGCTTTTGTAATGAAATTTTATGTGAAATATTTTATGACTGTAAAAGACCCTTATTGATTTTGAGATCAAATATTAAGATTTAACACACCCACCCACCCCCACCCAAACACACAATCTTGGATAATTCTCACCCACCCACCCCTCAAATTGGTGCTTTGCCTTAAATAATTTCATAAGTACAG